GCTGAAACTCAGTCAGAAAGAATTAAGGAAAAGCAGGATTGCAAATTAAAGTCAATGATCTATGCCAAAATTACTCAACCATGGAGGGAAAGCATGCAACCTTGTTTAGCATGGAAACATGTCTAACTGACTGATAAATGGCATAAGGTAGTACATATGGATTTTCTAACTAGTGGGATAAAAAAGCTAACATAAACTTCTTAAAAACAAGTTGTAGATTGTCACATACAGAATCCCTGCATCCTACCCAGGGGCAGAGCTATGCAGTAGGTAAAAGCATGAATGAGTCCTGGGTTCCGATCCTGCTGCCATGTTTAAGCTGTGTTATCTTGGGCAAGTCAGAACTTCCTCAGCCTGTGTGATCTCATGTGTGAAGCAGAACAACTATATTATGTGACTGCTTTAAGGATTAAATGAGACGACAGGTCTGGATACTGTTTATATTAATTATACAGGCATTATTTCTACAAGGTCTCCTCTCAAGTCCCCTCTCACAGGAAAAAAGAAATCTTATACTTTCAACAGCAATACCACAGAAGAATGATAGCATTATTTAAAGTCAAAGTTAGCTCATCTTCACTTTTTAGAAGCCCTACTACACTACTATGCAGTAACTGTTTATTTCCAACACCTTTCTAACCTAAGAGCTGAATAGACAAAAAGTCTCTGAGTTCGGTCCTTGGTAACTCATGGAGAAGAGGATGGAAGGACTTACTGCCAGCCTCCATGAAAGCTTCAGGAAGGTATGTGAAGCCACTTTCTTGTTCCAGAGGGTTCCCACAGCTGGCATGCTCACCAGGACGCTGCAGGTTGATGATACTTTTTATGCCGTGGCTTAAAGGAAAAAGAAAAAAAAACTAGTCATATTGGGAGGTAGTGTTAAAAAAATTAACCATTTTTGGCATTAATAAACATTATTAACTACTTTCAAAACCTTAATTGTCTTATTTGAAATAAGTTCTTCACACTCCTGTTGGTAAAATGAAAGCACCTTTCCATTTAAAGTCAAAAGCAATAGAAGAGAAAACATAAGCTGGCTTATTAAAGTGTGTAAACGTGAAACGTTTACCTTCGGAACTGCTCGATGATGCAGTACTTCTCGAGGAGCTCAGTGGATGGGCGTGCCATGGCCAGGATATTATCAGTGACCCTACAGATGGGAGGAGGGACTGGTGATATGCACAAAACTGAGAAAGCAAGATTTTAAGCCCTTACTTTTTCTATGATTTCAACAATGCTATAAGGTAAGAATCTCCTTATACAAATCTGGCTTCAATTCTGTATTATGATTAGGGCTCTAAGAAACCCTAGCTTCTTAAATCCCTGGAAAAAATTCCAGGACATTAAGTATCTATGGACTCCAGCAAAGTACTTTCAAGGACTTTCATGAGATTATAGTGGACATGACGGAATGATGGAGAAACCTCAGCTGACAGCAAAGGACATCCTGGATTAGTTATCCAAAGGTTACTGACTAAATGAGGAGGGCCAGCTGGGAGGCATTTTTAGTTACATAGCTATCTGTACCTCAGTTACCTAATGTATTGAGTGGGGATAATGCCTGCCTCACAAGATTGGTGTGAGAATTCAATATGATGTGAATGTAAAGAGTTTAGCACAAATCCTAGCATGTGGCTATGAATAAATGCTGAGTTATTGTAATTTTGCAAAAAATATGGCTTTGGAGTCAGTCAGACCTGGTTTCAAATGCTGGCTTTTCTACCTTCTAGCTGTGTAGCAAATTACTTAGTCTCTCTGGACTTCAATTCCTTCACCAATAAAATGACATTAATGATGCCTACTTAAAGAGTTTTTATGAAGATAATAATTTGAGAGTGTTCAGCACCGTGCCTGGCTTTTAACCAAATGGATGTTTACTGAGTGTACAAATGGATAGAGACCCAGTAAACGGCTATCACTCTCACTAGGGCTCTGGCTTCACTCTGTTCTGACTGCATTTCTCACCAGTGGTCTGGTGAAAGATACATAAGGTAGACTATTGCAAGTTGTGGGTCACAAGAACCTGAGAGGAGTAACAGAGACATTAGATGAGCAGGTCAGGATTCAGAAAGATACTATCCCTCATGCCTGGGGCAATGTCTAAAACTGTTTAACAGGGACGCCCAAAGGTTTGGGACGCCCCAAATTTAATAGCACTTAGTGTAGGATTGAGAGAGATGTAACATGAAAGCAGCAGAGGTGAAAAAAGTTCAGATAGTTTAGTCAACAATAAACCAAAAATATGAATGTGACCTTAAACTGCATTATTAGAAATTTACTTGTCTGACCACACCTCAGGAATTGTGTTTGCTTTTTCACAACATTCTTCAAGAAAGATAGTGATAAACTAGAACATGATCTGTGGAGAACAACAGTGACAGCAGACCCCAGACTACAGTACTACACATGTATCCAGAAAGTCCAATATGAAAAAGTACAGGGTTGCAAGTTAGTAAGTTGGTTGACAAATATCTAATTTGTAAATGAATTCTTGCTCTATAAAATGATTCACAAGCAGAGTTCTTTGAATAGTGAATTCCTCTTAGTGCATTTCAAATTGACTTGGTTTTGAATACCAGAATTTTTTAGAGATATCACTATATCAAAAAAGGTATACTCGACAGTTCACTATTAATAATAAAAGCAGTATGATTCAATAATGAATGAATTACACTTACATACCATTAACAAAGTAAGCATCTTATATCGTCTGCTGAACTGACAACTCGTACCACCTTACTGAGGCAGACTGGAAGTGTATGTATTTGTATGAAAATGTATCCTTTTATACAGAATACAGGAACAAAATAAAAACGAGGCTAAAGCTTACCTGTATGAAACTGAAAAACTACCAACGTACCTCATAATTTCTCAAATTTATAGTTGAACATTTTAATTATTTTTAGCAATTTCTGAAATTTAAGAGCTATCTAGTTACCATTTCTTTAAGATACTTTACATACAGCATTCCATTCAATTAAAAAAAAACCTATAGGGTTGGTTTCATTATTTCCATTTTACAGATCAGGAAACTGTGGCTCTGACTGCCTGTGTGAGTAGACCAAGATCACACAGCTTGTTAAGTGGCAAAGCCAGGGATGGAGGTGAGGTCCTCTGATTTCAGAACCCCACATTCCTTCTTCTACAGCCCACTGCCTCCTGGCCATCTCCTACACGTCCATTCCGTTTTCCCACTTAGCAGTAGGTGGGAGCTACCAAAGACAGACAGAATCACTTACCAGGACGAGTAGATCCCCTTAATAGCTTGCTCCTGTTCACTCCAACGGGCTGCATTTTCATACTTGCAAGCTTTGCCACCACATGCCATGGAACAGGCCATATGTCCAGGAATGACATGCCGTAAACGCTCTCCAACTTTTGTATACTTTGGTGTTGGACGTCCTGAATTTCCTAGAACATTCAAAGGGACGATTCAAAATCCTACTCTCCGAACAGAATAGTAACATGGGAAACAGCTTCCATTTTCTCTCAGGATTGTAGATGACAAGCTGGTGCTAAATCCCCTTCACTTTGTCAGGAATAAAACTGTTTCCCTTTCGTGTAAGTACACTGTCCTTTACCACAGAAAAGGCTCTTGCACACAATAATCTCCACATGTCATATTGGTAATGAAAAGGAAGAAACTGTAAAAGCAGATCTTCTATAAGGGAATGAGTTTTGTGCAAAAACTACATTTTTAATGAAAAAACATAAAACATTCAATCATTTTTATCTCCTATTACATGTCTACTGAATCTCTTAGCATAACAAACAATAAAAAGTATAATGCAGAATTGTCAAAATTTTAAAAAGTATCAACACAGTATAACCTCTTCACAGTTCTTATATTTAAACTCAAAGCTGTGGCAATCTTTAAGAAGAAAAGGAGCTTTACTTTTTCTCTCGGGGCAAGTTGGGTTTCTCTCAGCACAGCTGACGGAGGACATGGCCACCATCACCTGGAGAGAGGATGACGAGAGCATCTTGGCAGTGGAGCTGCGCCGCCCCTGCTGCAGTCGCACGATGGGGTCGGAGGCAGAGTGTCGTCGGCCCTGGAAAAAGGAGCTGAGGAATGGCACAGCAGAAAGCCTCCGGGGTGGATCCTGCATGGCGCTGGGCTTCCAGGAGGGAAGAGCTGGAGGCAAGATGTCAGCGCCAGCCTGCTCCATGATGAAGTTACACTGAAACATGAGCATCACTCTGTGTGATCTAACCACCATTCAGGATAGGCTGACTTGTTTCCATAGTGACAAACAAAGAAACTACTGATTCCCACTCAGATCTGTACAAGCAAAATCCGGTATGAATGGATTGTTTTGAACAGATTGTTCAAATATAAGGAAGAATAACATGTATTTTAAATAGATTATACCTAAAATGTGACTTTTCTATTGTTTCTCAAACACATTTTAAAAGATCTGACTGCTCAAAGAATTACATCTAAAATACTGTAATGAATTTAGAAAAATGTCTTTCTGATGTAAACACACACATATTAAAATATTTAAATTTTGTTATTCCTTTCATATCTATTCTTTGAACATTTTGAAAAATATTCTCTTTCTACTGCCCTCTGGAACAGGGCAGATAAAAAGTTAATTGTAGCAAAGTGAGAGAGTGGCATGGACATATATACACTACTAGATGTAAAACAGATAGCTAGTGGGACACAGCACAGGGAGATCAGCTCAGTGCTTTGTGACCACCTAGAGGGGCGGGATAAGGAGGGTGGGAGGGAGACGCAAGAGGGAGGGGATATGGGGTATATGTATATGTATAGCTGATTCACTTTGTTAAACAGCAGAAACAAACACAACGTTGTAAAGCAATTATACTCCAATAAAGATGTTAAAAAAAAGTTAATTGTAATAAAGTGGGATATACTAGATACCTCTAACACTATTAAAACGTCATTTAATTTTTCAAAATAAAAAGAAAACCCTATTTTTTTAATAGAACTATTAAAGACATGCTTGGATAGAACAAATAAAGACATCTGTAGGGCTGATATATTAACCAAAAGACATTTATATTCATATTCTTATTTTCAGAATGTGAAAATCCAATTCTTGGTTATTGGATAGTAATAGTAGTCATAACTATAGCCCTCAAAAACTCAAAGACACAATTCTGTGCCTTTTGTTGCTGACTATGGGGAAAAGAAATGCTTCAGTAATGTCTTGGCAGAGGCATAGGAAGAAAATTCACTAAGTATCACATTTTTTAAAGGAACTGGATGAGTGGGAGTTTGCAACTTGATGATCAAGGATATAAAGAACACAGAAACTGTAACAACCACCAACTGTCTGCCTCCTCTCTTGTGAATGTCAAGCTGCACACCCTAACCCCACCCCCGTGTCTCTCTCCCTCTGTCTCTCCAAATGGTATTTCAGCCATGTGCAGGTGGCAACAGTCTACTGTCATAGATAGGGTTCTTCTTTGTTTTGTTCCGTTTTATTTTAACAATTAATAATGCTTTAAAGCATGCTCCTTTTAAAACACAGCCCCCATCTCCCCAACTGGATGTGCTTTGTCAAATAAGACAGAGTAGCTCAATTTGGTGCCAAAATTCCTACGAGTATAGCATCCTGCCCCTGTTATTTTGCATACAGCAATGGAAAAGAATTCCTTTTAACATACCTAATCCAGAAGGCACAGCTTCCACATAGTTTTACAGGAAAGGAAAGAGTAGAGGATGCGGTGTGGAAGGCAAGTTGGAACCTGATGGCAAGAGACCCTAAATGCTCACACTAAGGGGTCTGAGTCTGCTATCTGGGGAACAGGGAGTCTGACTCAAGTTTCTAAGTGTTAACATTCCCTGCAAAGATAGGGCCGGGAGCCAAGGACTGGGGGCCTGCTGGGACTGGGACTGTGTGAATGGAGCTAAGCATGGAAATAAGACAGTACAGGGGCAGACACTGCACTGGGTGCTGAGACTTCAAGCCTAAGCGAGCAGCAGCAAGATACTGAAGCAGGTAAATATGGAAGTCCATGAGAAGAAGGTGCGAGAGAAAATCCAGCAGGCAAGTTCCATCTGAGATGAAAGGCATGTGAGGCAGCAACTAGGAGGTCTCAACCAGTGAGTAGGAAATGCGTGATCTGTGCAGCTCTAAGGACATCCACAGAGGAGAGTCCAAGTGACTCTCTTCTCAACAGTTCTGAAAATGAGAATGAATTTGATGAGGATAGGACTTGTCTGGACCAAGCTAAGGAATGAAAGGTTTATGTATTAAAATACAATGTCTTACAGATGTGTGAAACAAGAAGTGTGAGTATATGTAACTAAACTGACCCACAAAATGAATAAAATAACTGCTTTCAAAAAGAACACAAAAAGAGACCAATTTGGTCCAAGTTCTAATATCTTTTATTCCATGAATTAGAAGATAATCCCTATAAAGTCATGGCATGATTGTTTTTCGGCAACATTCTGTGAACAAAAATGTGGTTATGTGGAGATGTGGATTTCTGAGGTCAAGGAGCTTGGCACAATAGCCAAAAAATCAATTTAAAAATTTAAATTGGGATGAATTATAGATTTCTAATGATGAATTGTTCAGACTTTTAGAAATAACATTTTAATATTTATTTAAATTACCAATAGGGAAAAAAGTGAAGGCTTATCTTTAGATAGAAGGAGGAACAAGACTATTTTAATTTCTATTTCATGTATTATATAAGATGGAAGTATTTTAGAGTAAGAATAATTCTATGAAGGGCCATACTTTCAACAGAAACTAAAAGGTAAAGAACTGAGTTATTTGTAGTGAGGTGGATGGACATAGAGTCTGTCATACAGAGTGAAGTAAGTCAGAAAGAGAAAAACAAGTACCGAATCTAAAAAAAAAAAATGTTAGATGAACCTAGGGCCAGGACATGAGTAAAGACGCAGACCAAATGTAAAATAGATGGCTAGTGGGAAGCAGCCGCATAGCATGGGGAGATCAGCTCAGTGCTTTGTGACCACCTAGAGGGGTGTGGGATAGGGAAGGTGGGAGGGAGACGCAAGAGGGGAGGAGATATGGGGATATATGATACGTATAGCTGATTCACTTTGTTATAAAGCAGAAACTAGCAGAAACTAACACAACATTGTAAAGCAATTATACTCCAATAAAGATGTTACAAAAAAAAAGGTAAAGAAACTTTTTTTCTGGCAACCACAGAGAAAGTCTATAGAACCTCGTTATTATAAGCTACATTCACCTCTCTGCTCTCCTTCCCTCCTTCCTCCATAGTTATAACTTGAGGCCACAAGAAACAACACTACTGTTTTTTCTCCACTTACCTGCTAACAGGATCTATATTTTCCTTCTCTGACAAAGTGTTTTTCTAAATACATAAGAAAAAAAATATCAGTTTTCTATATTCCATGAATACAAAATCATAGGGGACCCTGCCTCATTACTATTTTTACCCTTTTTCTTCCAAATATGCTATCTCTAAAAAAAAAAAAAAAAAAAAAATCAGGCTCCAAGAAAAAGTAGGAAAACAATACAAAAGATAATCCCCATGACCAATCCTATACTCCCCTCTAAGATGCTGTAATCATCAATGCTTAAAAGACCCCTCTCAAAGCATAAAGAATATGGGTGCTGCACTCTAAACACAACAATGACTGTGGCCAATGGCCTGTTTGTAGGTAGGCAATCAGACCTTCCCAAATTCAGAATAATATTTAAGGAACCAAATGAGATACTGGTCACTGCAAATGTGAAATTAAGCACAGTAAACAACAAAGAAACCTACCTAAAGTTACTTATGAGCCCTTGGTCTTTTCCTCTTTAATTTCTACATGTGGGTAGTTAAAGCACTAAAGAGTCTAAAGAGATGTGGAGCCTCAAGAACTGTTTAATTCCCTTTTATACTCAAGAAAGGACTAATAATTTCCTATTTAAACAAACTCACGCAACAATAGGCCCAAGAATGCAGTGGGAGATGGAGGTCCATCTGGGCTCAGTCCTAAGTCAATACAGGAGTCATTTCCAGGAACTGGAAATGGACTAGAATGCTGACTTTACAGTTTCTTGTTTTCCACTTTTTGTGACACTTCTCACAAGGCAACTAACTATTCAACTTTTTGACAGCTCAAGATGTTTTCCAATGTTGAGTCAAAATCCATTTCTCTGTAAACACTGGTCCTGGTTCTTCCCTCTAAAAATTAAAAATAAAGCATCTCTGACTTGCAACGTTTTCAAATATGTGAAGACAAAACTTCTCTAAGTCTTCCCCTATTCAGATCAAATCTTAATTTTTCAAACATTCCTAGTATATGTCATTGTTTCCAGATCCTTCACTATAATTCCCCTTCTTCAGAGAGCCCTCCCTCTCCCCTTTACAGCTAAACTTCTAAAAAAGTTGACTTCATTTGCCATTTCCATTTGTCACCTTCTCGTCCTCAATCTATTCAACTCTGGTCTCTGTCTCCAGCATCCACTGAAAATTGATCTTGCTAAGGTCTCTGATGCCTTTTTATAGTTTCTGTCTTATTTTGACTGCTTAGCACATTTAACACAGTTCAACAATTTAGTTTTTTTTCTTTTTTATTAACAATTTTATTGGAGTAAAATTGCTTTACGATGGTGTGTTAGCTTCTGCTTTATAACAAAGTGAATCAGTTATACATATACATATATCCCCATATCTCTTCCCTCTTGCGTCTCCCTCCCTCACACCCTGCCTATCCCACCCCTCTAGGTGGTCACAAAGCACCAAGCTGATCTCCCTGTGCTATGCAGCTGCTTTTCACTACCTATCTAATTTTACGTTTGGTAGTGTATACATGTCCATGCCACTCTCTCACTTTGTCCCAGCTTACCCTTCCCCCTCCCCATATCCTCAAGTCCATTCTCTAGCATCCTTATTCCAGTCTTGCCCCTAGGTTCTTCATGACAATTTTTTTTTTTTTTTAGATTCCATATATATGTGTTAGCATAAGGTATTTCTTTTTCTCTTTCTGACTTACTTCACTCTCTATGACACACCCTAGGTCCATCCACCTCACTATAAATACCTCAATTTCATTTCTTTTTATGGCTTAGTAAAATTCCATTGTATATATGTGTCACATCTTCTTTATCCATTCATCTGTTGATGGACACTTAGATTGCTTCCATGTCCTGGCTATTGTAAATAGAGCTGCAAAACACTGTGGTACATGTTTTTTTTGAATTATGGTTTTCTCAGGGTATATGCCCAGTAGTGGGATTGCTGGTTCATA